GGGCATCATTCTCAGCTCCATATCTGAGTCATCGCTGTTTGGTTACATTTCGGTGAACAACCGTCTGCGTGCAGTCCGTTTGACGGCATCAACTGAGGTTGCTTCTCGGAGCAGCACTAGGCGCTGTTTGTTTGTGGTTTCCACTTATGCTATCACCGATTGCAGCTCTGATGCTGCGAATTATGCTTTCCACCACGAACTGAACACGCTACTACGCAAGGCTACCAGTTCTGGTATCATAGTTTTTGCAGGGGATAAGAATGCACAAATAGGTCCTCTGGGCTCTACAGAAGTTTTGGTCTTATTAAGTATGGATGTAACTCCGAACGGACGGATAGCGGCGAGCGTCTGTTACAGCTGGTGCTCCGCACGCAGCTGTTTCATAGTAGTACCGCTTTTAAACAAAGTGGGCTCCGAAGTGCCACTTGGCATCCTCCTGTAGCTGACCAGCGATGGACCCAAATAGATCATGTTGCCATAAGTTACAGGTGGCGTGGTTCCATCCTGGATTGCTGCTCGTTCTAGTGTACTAGCGTCGACTCTGATCGTGCTTTGGAGCGCTCTCGTTTTTCCATTGCCTTTAGCGGGGGCCGTACCAAGCGCCTCCATCGATTGGCAGCTGAAAAGTTATGTCAGCGCTCGGTCAGGCAAGCGTACCAAAATACACTGCGTACCGAATTTTCACTCTCACACTAATGACACTGAGCTTCAATGGAATAGGATCTGCGCCGCCATGACCATGCTGGAGCCTCCGCTTGCGGCACTATCAATCGTCACCGCATTAGTCACTGGATATCCGAGAGGTCGGTGAACCTGTTGGAATCCAGAAGAAAACTCCCGACTGCATCTGAGCACAATGTTACCAGGCGGACTATTAGGCGCCAACTAAAGCGGAGCCTGCGTGCTGACAAGGAAGCCTGGTGCACCAGTCGGGCTCAAGAAATGGTAGCCGGGGCGGTAGGCAATTATCGCAAGCTCTTCCAGCTGGTCTGCGCTACTGGTCCCAGGAAACTAGGCGTCAGGGAGACAATCGGAGACAGCGCGGGTGCCATGATTCACGACAGGTAGTGCCCTATGGTTCGTTGGTTGAAGCACTTTCAAAATCTCTCCAGTTGTCCAGCTACTTTTGGACCTCTTCCTACGCAGGTGTCGCAGGCTGAGCCATGACCAGTTAATTTAGCGACTCCGTCAGAGGCTGAGGTCCGAAACGCGATCGCAGCCCTTAATCGTTTTCGTGCTGCTTGCCCGGTTTCGCTCGCACCCGCACAACTTAAAGCTAGTGGTGAGGTTCTCTGCCAAGCACTGACCTTCCTATTTGAACAGATCTGGAAGGCAGAACCCATCCCAGCCAGCTGAAGTGAATCAATTATATTGACGAATTACAAGAAACGCAGTCGCACCGTCAGTGCTAACCACAGGGTCATTAGCCTAACGCTGGTGATGTCAAAATTACTGGTTTCAATTCTCCTTCGTCACCTCACTGCAGAGCGGCAATCACTTATTAGGGAAGAGCAAGCATGCTTCCGCCCAGGACTTCTTTGAAGAATTCATATCTTCACTCTGCGGCAGGTCATGAACAGTAGTACGTCAGCCATTTGAACCGATGCTTCGCTGCCATACAACCATAACGACCTACGGAACAAAGAATAATAAGAGAGAAGAAGGACTTACTGGAATACCTTAAGGCTCTAAGCAGACATTCAGGGTCAAAGCACCCACACCTTGTCAACAACATATCATCACAAACAGCTGGCTATCATGTATAGATAAGGCGGCACCGGCGAGAGAGTTTCCTTGCGGCTTTCACTGCTCTGCGTCATAACCAGCCATTATCTCGCCGATAATACAGCAAAAGCACTTTAAATAAGCAATCCGACTAGGGGGCGATAGCAAACGCGCCACTGGTTTTAAGTGCAGGCCATGTCTTGTAGTCTCGAGTCAAACACAAGGCAAGTCACGGGGACTCCAGCCCGGAAGACGAGACGGATCGACGGTACCAAGTTTGGTGCTAGCACAACGCCATACTTTCCGAAGGCCGACAATAGCTGTGTTCCTGGACTTTAAGGGTACGTCCGACTCAGTTGGCCGATTTATTCTATTCGAAATACTTCCGCGGAAACGTGTTCCCATGGAAAAAGGGAACACGACATACTGCGTCAGGATCTAGGGTGATTTGTCGGATGCCTTTACGACAGGAAGTGACGTTCGTCAGGGTTTCCCAATTTCCACATTTTTGTTCAACTTCATCGCAATTGTGGAGCTTTCGCTTGCGGAGCTTCATGATGCAAGCGTTTAGGTGCTGCCTGGTGAAAACCTTGTTGATGTTGAGTATATGGACCATTTTGTCCTGCTTTTTAATGAGGTTGGGGCGGCGCAATCAACCATGAATACCCCCTCAAGGGTGGTCCCATTATTTGACATGCGCATCGCACCTTCAAAATGCAGAGTGCTATTACAGAACCACCAGCCACTTGATGATCCCTTGATCCTTGATGGCGAGGAACTTGGGATAGTTGATCACTTCATCTACGTTGGCAGCTGCATTAGCAACGATGGGCGCATAACGACTAAAGTCGGTTTATGTATTGCAAAAGCTATAACTGTTTTTTGAATCTGCCACATCTGGGACGACAGAATGGGATTTCCCTCCGTCTAAAATACCCTGTTTCCACGGCCACAGTGAGGGCCGTTCTGCTGTGTGGAAGCGAGACTTGGCACCTCCGATCTGAGAACCTGCAGCGCCTTCAAGTCTTTGAGCATTGTTGTCTGCCAGGCATTGCTGGTGTCCGATGGCACCAGCGTGTCCGCTGCGATGATGTATGGTAGTACTATGCAATTATAGCCAGGCTTGTTCCTTGAAACGACAGATAGCAATAAATAAGTTGCTTTAACTTGGGCACGTACTCTGTATGTCTGGTCACCGCTTACCGCGGAGGGTCTTGTTATGTTTGCCAGATGTAGGGTGGCGCGAGGCTCGAGGTGTCCAAAATTTAACTCTGCAACGGGAAATGAACTCTCTGATGTCTAAACAGAGTACCACCGGTCCGTGGCGTCTTCCCGGCTGGATTCCACTTGAGTCACTTTGTGCTTGGCTTGAGATGTTACAGCAAATGGCTTGCAGTCGACACTAGTGACACGTCATGATGATGATGATGACGACGATGATGATGATGATGATGATGATGATGACGATGATGATGATGATCATTGTGCTGATGGAAGCGCCGTGCTACATGATAGCTAGTAACCGGGGTTTGTTGACAGCTGCCGTCGCCCATGGTTCACCATCTGAAGTCATTTACTTGTGAAACTCATGAGTCCGGATCCAAAGTGCTCTGCTGAATGTGCGCTTTTGCCAAGTCCCAATAGAATAAAACAGCTTTCCTGCGATTTTCTGAATGTGCAGTGGCTATCTCAGCAATTGATTCCCCGAAACACTTATGAGTAACACTGCTACTAACATACCTGAGCATATAACGTAGGCTTCAGGCACTGCGGTCTGTCCTCTCGCACATTTCCGAAACAAGCTACACTTCACGAACTTTCTTGCGTTCCTATGTGCCTTACAGCAAACTCTGTCATTCAGGGGCCTCACGTGCAGTTATCTAGGTCCCAGTTGGAGTCACGCAGATGATCTCTTACTGTTAGATAATGTCAACGCAGCACAGCAACCTAGGACAAACGCTCTAGATTATCTTTTTTCGCTGCATATTCCTTACACATTCATAGTGCAATGTCATTGGGGTCTGCAGCAATCCTAGAGCTTCAAGGATGAGGAACTATAGATAGTTAACTGACTCATCTAACTTGGTAGCCACATCAACAGTGACTTGTGTCCGATGTCTGAAATCGGCTCGCTTATGGCAAAAGCCGGAACTACCTTCATGAGAACTTAGCGCTTCTGACAACGGAGGCTGATTTTTTCTTTGCAATCAGTGTCCGATGGACACAGATGACTGCCCATTCTCTTTTCTTCAGTGAAACGGTTGATTGCGCTGCATATTTTTATCATATTTACCCATGGGTTCTTTTAGCGATCTGATTGCATCAACCTATCCGTGACGATGATGAACGCAGTTGAATGTTAAGCGACACTGATTGGGCCTGTAGTCAGGTCAAAGGGTATGGCAAACTAATTTGCGTTGTCTTTGAGGAATGTGACATGTATGCCGCCTTTTGCTTGCCGAAGTGGGTCTTATTTTGTTACTAGGTTTTAGGTGGCGCGAAGTGCAATGAAGAAGATGCAATCATTGCTCTGGTCTCACAGACTGACGTCACTAAGTTCCAACCCAGGTCCACTTGATTCACTTGGTCTGGGGTTTAAAATGCATTCATCTGTATTCCTCGAACTGCCCCACTTCGGTGTTCACTGTCGTCTCCTTCCGGATTGCTTGTATGCGACTGAATTACATGTCCATTTAGGTTGACTGTCCACCATTTTCTTGCGTTACAGCAACCTGTTGGTGACTATCCTTCCTCGTCAAGCCGCAGATATTTTGATGCTGGCCGTCTGTTTAGGTCAACTATATTTTTCAAATTCTTCACTCTTTCCGCTTTCATTTCTTTTCTACTCTGGTCTCTTTCTACTATTTTATTTCACGATTGTGATAGCATTGTTTACTTATTTCCACGAACCGATTCCTTTACTGTGAAAGCATAATCGGTGCTGTGTTTGATCGACCTCACAATGTATTGAAGACGCAGATATTACTTTCTTATTTCGTCCATTTTGACTATTCCTTTTAGATCACGCAGATTTGTACTTATCAGTTCACTAACCACAGTAGAATCAGATCAGTTTTAGCATTGTTATGATTTCATTCCATACCAATGACCCAGTCTTGTATAAATTCCCCTTTGTGAGCTTAATTCTAATTATATTGTGTTTCTGCTTCACCAGTTCAGTATTTTGCGATGTTGGTGGCATGGCTTAAAGTAATTTTACCATATTATTCCAACCAGTCTTTCAGGCGATGTTTGCTTTTATCCCTACACTGCAGTTTATCAGAGCCGATCTGCTCGACAAGCAAAGCAGCGCCAAACTGAACTGGAACGTGTGCGACGTGAAGCCGAGGCGAAAGTACTTGCTTTGCAGGCCACTGTGGGGGGTCGTCGAAGACGGAAAGTTCGTGAACCGAGACCAATGGAGCACCTTGACGGAAGATTACAGGGCGTCAATGACAGTCTTGTGGAAGGTAACTTTCTTTCTTCAGAGCATCACCGAGGCGAAGGTGAGGCGCAAGGGACTGGTGGTGGCTCCAAAGCGCCCACTGGCTATCGAGTTAAACACTTGGACGAATGGGAAGATTACAATCCTTATGAAAGTGAATCGCTTGTTCCGGGGGGTAGTTATCCCGGCACCGGTCCGCCGGTAGATGGCATGCGTAGAGCTTGCCCTCCAGATGAATGAGTTTCATTACAGTTTGCACTTACACAATTGCTTTAACGAAATGCACTAGTTCACCTGACTTGTACATCGGTCTCTAATCCATGGGGTTCTACAGTCGATGGTGTCAGTGCCATTTGTTTGTCCTTTTTCTATCCCTGTAATCTTTTCACCGCCTTATGTGCTTGCCTTTCCTTCCGCGCATTTCTATACCATCCAAACCTCATAGATGATTTCTTTGATAAAAACTGGACCATATCATTCTCATACTGTTTCTGAACATATATTGTAACCTTCATCGGCCAAACGTTACGCTACTCGTGGTCAATTATCCTTAACTTACAGCAGTTTTTGGTCGCAATATCGATGCAGTACTTAATCGTTCAAGGTCCATATGTATCAGCCTGGATACCAGAATGCAATTACAAGTTTGGGGAACAATGGTGACCTCAAATCTACGGGACAAGCAAGGTTGCCACAGACCAAGTCATGTACACTGCACATACAACAGGTTACTAGCGAAGTCACTGTGAGTAATCCATCCCAGATTGGTTAGGGGTCAAAAGCAAACCTGAAGCTCACGCACATGCATAACACAAGCTAATGGACAGGATCGCTGAGCCCATAAACATCGTTCAGAGGGTGTTAGAGTGCCATGAAAACAATGATGCCAAACCAAATTAATGCAAACTATCCCAATCGACGCAAAACGAACTGGAGGGGTATGGCATGGGTTACACGCTACTAGCCTCAGGTGATGTAGATGTGGGACGGTGAAACGCACAATAGCGTATCTACATGTTTAGCTAGGGGCATGGTTCAATTCGTAAATGATACACACAGCCACGATATAAAGTCTATTGAACCGGCTGGAAAGCCTTCCGCCAAGTGAGAGCCACATAGACGATTCAGGAGAATTTTCCGCTGCAATTCGTTAATTCGTCGAACCATCCTCCAAAGTTCCGCTGCGTGTTGGTAGCCCGATTGGCGTTGACGACATTTTAACTCATCCTAAGATCAGATTTTTCATGCGCTCGCTATTACTAGGAGGTTTGGACTGTGCTCATAAGGATCATAAGTTCGTTTTGTAATCCTGAGGTCGCGGTTTCGAGGTTGCGCAGTAGCCTTAACATTAAGTGCGACTGTCAGTGGTTACGCGGCAGCGAAGCGTCGATACCGCGTACCTGAGTACTGCTGATGCCTTTCTCTGAACTGTAGAATATTCGCAGCATCAAAGGCCTACATTGATAGGAACCATTATCCATGACACCTACTACCTGCTGCTCTCTTGGGCCCGTGGTTAAAAACCGTTCTCTTCAACTCTTGTCCTACACCCAGCACAATATTGATGATCTGCTATTCGTCACACTATATACGACATATCCACTCTGTATGCATTATCACTGTTTTCAAGGAAGCTTTCCCTACTAGTCCGTGGAAGCTGGTCTCACAAACAATTACGAACCCTAAAGACCAACGTCCTCAGGGCATGCTTTCTCATATGACCAGTGCCAACTCATCTACGAAATTCCCCTTTTTGGATACAATCACCTCTATCGCACGTGCAAGATAATTTGGTACTCTCTTGTTCATCATGGCTAAAGTATTGTAGCTGTCTAGTTCATCTTCCATTGTTCTTTACATCTTTCCTCGATGGCCTGAGTGAGAAAGTCCAGTAATTCTCCCCGAATCAGGGGAAACTGTTCGGTGCCAGTTGGGGATTGTCACGATTATCGTTCGTCGGTACTACCAAGGGGGGTATTTTAATGTTTGTGGAGCTTCGCTAAGTATGAGGGCGAGGTATTCGTCAGACGTGCGACTGGCTACACACCATAATAGACACCTTCCTTACTGGACGGATCGCTCCTTTCCACACTACCTCTGTGTTTAGAGGATGTTGGGCTGAAATGTCATTGTACCCAATGAGCAAGCAATTCGAGATTGACTTTTTATCAATTCATACCTTGGAAACAGTCACGTATCTTCTTGGCTACCTTAACGAAGTACACTCCGTCATAACTGCAAATACCGGACGGATAACCACTTCTACCAACAAAACGGTTAAGTACATATTGTGGGTCCTTTTTAAGGCACATGTTTTGCGGATGAATTGCGACATGCAGTCTCAACGTTGACCGCGATTCCAATTGAAGTGAACTTTGCTCTTTCGGTCACTGGGCCCGAGGATACGTACTTTTCACTGTTGTGTGTGCCCACGTATTAGAGTAAATACTTTAAGTTCCATGCTTGGGTGCGAATTCGACGGAACGTTATCGACCAGTTGGAGGCCTCTTCAGTTTCTCAGTAAATCAGATCCATCAACCAGAATTGCCATTCTTTAAGTGCCTGGATGCCTAGTGACTCATGGTCTTAACAGAGAAAGAACAACGAACATTTCTGCGGAATATTCTGAATTCAGTATTATTCGTGTATTCTCTTCAGCCGCTTACATACAATGGGTGAAATTTTCAAACGATTGTATGTAATAGGTCAATGCCAGAAATCGATACTTAGTTGTCTTGGCTAGCTTGTCTTGCCTCACCTGGACAAAGCAAGATTGGCCACAAACTGAAGTTGTTTACATAGGTTAGGCTTCAAACGCCGAATGGCAGAAGCCTCAGCTTCGTGGGGATTCTCACACATCGAGCAGTTGAATAAGTGCCGGGCAGCGGAGGTGGCAGGTAATGTTGCGCCACGGAGAGCAAGGTTCCGTGCGATATGTTCTGAAATCCGAGTGGACAACCTCTGTACGGCCAGTGTACATGCTACCGCAAGTACAGTTAAACTGAAAAAAGGCGGTGACAGTAGAGTGAGGCTTGTCCTAATTGGATTCATCTAGTAGCTTTTTGTTTCTGTGGATCAACACAGCCTCAGCTGTATGGTAGCACCTCTTTATGGCATGATGTAAGCGACAGCAGAACCGTCTGTCATTTTCTTCCTCTATGTAAGACAGTGCAGTGAATACCTTCTAATTTGAAGCTTCAGTTCACTCTTCGTGCGGCCTGGTTTTCTCCCCATACCTTGCGATGAACTTGGCAGGTTACCTATTTTTACGTGGGGTTGATGCGATACCCTGTAGCTCTTCCTCAATCGTTTCCTCTGAACAGATACAGCGGGCTCTCACAAATGATGCACGAACTAGGGAGCGCTTGTAGCTCATGGGGCAGTAGCTGTCGAAGTTTTGGTATTGCCCCATCCAGTTCGGTTTGTGATAAATTGATCTCAGGAGCGACCCATCTGTTCTTCTTTCCAAAGCTACATCCAAGAAGTAGAACTTTCCTGATGTTTCGCTTTCCATGGTGAACTCGATCTCTGGATGACATTCATTAAACGTTTTGAGCATGCGTTCCGCTTGTTGGGCTTCGTCAACCATCACAAAGGTGTCATCAATATATCGAGCGTACAAGTGAGCTTCCTGTATAGGGTGACACAATTTGGTGTTCTCTAGATGAGCTACGAAGATGTCAGCCAAAATGAGGCCAAGGCGACTGCCCCTCAATCTGCTGATAGCGACTTCCATTGAAATAAAATTGAATATCTTTTGTACAGATACGAATTAAGTTCTTTAATCGATGTGGTGGAGATCCCACTCTACCTGCATAACTGCCTATGATGTTCAGCGTCTCTTCCAATGGGACATTTGTAAATAAACGAAGCACGTCAAAAGATACCATTATCTTACCGTTCACATTTAGATTCCGAATCATTTCAACGAACTCAACTGAATCTTCTAAGCTGTGCACCGCTAACTCACGTCGGATGGGCTCAATTAGCTTGGCTAACCATCGTGCCAATTTCTGGTGCGGTGCTCCAACCATTGAAAGGATTGGGCGTAATGGAACCCCTTCTTTATGCACTTTCGGCAACCCATAAATTCGAAGAAGTCTGGAACCAAGCGGCCGTAGTTGTGTCATGGTATTCGCATCGATCAATCCGTCTTTGTGCAAAATTCGTACCTCGCGGGTTATCATCTTTCCAACATTTCCGGTTCTATCACGGCCGGTCAGATCTTTAACAAAATGACTTTCGTTCATGAGCATAGTCTGCTTCTGTAAGTAATCCAGTTTGTTCATCACAACGACTGCGGAACCTATGTCAGGTCTCAGTATTAGTGCATCATTGCGACGCAACTGCATCGAGGAATCAAAATGGTCTTCCGTAATTATTCAACACATTTCGAGCTTCGTACCGTAAAATTGATTGACTATATCTACAGCTTTGGCCTTAAACCATCCAACGGCTTCATCTGTCACCAGTGTCAGACTGGAAAGCTGCTAGTACAGATGTTCAAATTGTGCTTCAAGTTCTGTTCGCTCACACTTACTGACGGACACCGAAAAGTGGAAACCGAAGGCCAAGACTTCTAGTTGGTGAAGACTTAGTAAGACCTAGGATAAATTTAATACGTACTTCTCTGGGTTTCTTGGGGTCATCTCAGCGAGACACTCAGAAGAAATGGAACTCAAGACTTGCTGCTCTGCGTGCATCCTTGTTTTAACTCGTAAGTCACGAAAGAGAATTGTAGAACTTCACAAGACAGATAGGATTTAGTCCACTCAAGGCGTGTTCCACACATCTCATCTTGGCGTTTATTTCCGTACAACGGCAGGTGGAGGCTTTGATTTGAGAGTTCCTAAGGCGTTTTAAATTGCGCGGATTCACAGGTAAATTATCTCTCCTTAGGGATATTAGAAACCGCATGGGTACCTCGACAACCTCGTGCATTCACTATGTGATTTGATGCAGAGATGTTCGTTGTTCTTGCTCCGTTAAGATTTTTAAACGGAAATGGTTGTATGACTCATGGTCCATTTGGCTAGCATTCAGTCATACATGGTTTCACTGGAAACATGCGGAAATCTCGTGTATGGTTGTAATGCGGTTGCTGGCAAGGGTTTGAATCTTATCACCATAATTTTTATATTGTGTAATATTGTTTGTGAGTGCGTCCAGGTTGTATTAGGAGGGGCAGAGCAAAGTCCTTCTGCCAATAACCCATTGCTTTGCATCGCAGTTACCTCTGCAACCAGTTTCAGCCATGCGACTAAGATCAGCTTCAAGGGACTTGCTCGCATCTTGACGAATACAACGAGTAATGCGGCTGTTCATGCTCAGGGAGCACCGGACGTATACCGCTGTAACATATCCAGTTTCCGAGACATCATGTGATCTATGCACTCTATCGTTCTCCGCATAGCCCTCTGTACATGTTATATTAATGCGTGCGATGGGGATTTGTCCAAAGGCGACCATGCGATAGATCCACGCTACTCCACCATTTTATTTAATCATTATTATTATTGTCCGTTATTAATTCGGAACCGGAGTTAGAAACAAAAAT